GGCAGCCCGTGCTTGCCCTCGCCGCGCAGTGACTCGCAGGCAGCCAGCCCTCAGCTGCCGCGCCCGCCCTGTCCCGGGTCTCGGCCCTGCCCGGCTTCACCCCCGGCTGCTCTGCGCTCTTCTCGCTGCAGACTGGTTGGGGCACGAGGGCCCACGAGACGCCACCCGGAGCAGCGGGCTGGGCTCGGCCGCTCCTCTGAGAGCTACGGGCCTGAGCCCGGCGCTGGGGCGCTGGGGCGCTGGGGGCCCTTCTCCCCGGCCACAGAGCTGAGGCCCTTTTCTGCTGTGTCCTTTAGCAAGGGGGAGAAGACGAGGCTGCTGGAGCGCCGCGGGAGGGCCCAGGGACTGCCCGCCATGCCAAGGAGCTGCGAGCAGCCCCGAAGAGCTGTCACGGCGCCCACCCTTTCCAGCCGGAGAGCTGCCAGCAACGGTGACGTGTGGAAAACAGATTCCACAATCTGATAGATTGTAAAGTAGGTAAGTTTATTCAGCGCTGGGCACACAGGGGATCGCTCCTCCTAATGTGTGTGCTGCCATGTGGCACCGTTGCCTTAGATTTATAGAGCAAATGATTACATATTCATAATATTTCGCAATACGCCTATACATATGCATCACCTATCCCCGCTTCGTATTAAAATTAGCATTTCCATGATCTCCTCCCAGTTGAGTCTGCGCAGTGAGTTCCTTTGGTCCTGGGCAGGGGTCGTGAAGGACTGGGCGGTGGTCGTGGGAGGAAGTATCTCCTCTTCCTCAGTGCTGAACTTTTCACCCCGAATTCCTGCGCAGTCTCTGTCAACCCCTGGACCCGCAGAGCAGGTTTGTGCCGGTTGTGGGGTAATCTTCTACTGACACCCACTTACTCAGGGGTGGAGGAGGCTTTGTACTTAAACAGGAGATAGTGGTCGAGCAACACAAACACAGCAATATCTATCTCGCACAAGCTAAGCAAACTCTTATCTCGACTATTTCCCTCGTCATCCCCTTCTTGCTATTCCCATATTAACCCTTACATCCCCTGTTCCTATCTAGGCCCTGTATCAACGGGTGGCAGGGGCGAGGAGCGCCTTTCCAAGGGGAACGTGCCAAATTAAGGCTGCTGGTGCCTGGGCCCAGCCAGCGTGGCCGTGCTGCTGCCTGCCTTGCCTTTCTCTGCGGCCACGGGCACGGGAGGGGCCCCGCAGCCCCCTGCTCGGAGGGGTCTCTGGGCAAATGGCCAGAGGACTGGTCCTGCCAGCCGGTCACCACAGGCCATGCGACCAGGAGCGCGGTGTCCCTTCCAGGACATGGGCCTCAAGGTCTTCAGAGCACAGCTTCTCTGCATCTAAACACCACTTTTCATGGATGACCAGAGCTCCGTGGCTGGTCACATCACTCTTAGAGCAGATTCACACTGCCAAAAGAAAATGGTGGGCCTGATGCTCCTTGAAAGGCTACACTCCTTAGATGAGCCCTTGGCTAACTGTTGGGCCTGATGCTCCTTGAAGGGCTACACTCCTTAGATGAGCCCTTGGCTGACCGTCAAGAACTGTCCAATGACCTTTGCAGAATGTTTATTCATTTAGGAAGGAGCATAACTTTTGAAAAAGCCCTTTTTTTGCCAGGTAAAGCACTGCACACAGGAGAAAACCATGATTTGAAAGGGTAAAAGAGCACTAGGAGCAGTATGTGCAACTAAGCCGGACATGTCTGGAACATGAGGTGACTCTTGCCTCCCAATTTGTCCACTGTTTGCTCAGGCCTTGGCAACAGCCGCTCTGAACCCTTGTACTGAGCACTGAGCAGTATAAGTGCTCTGCTGCTACTGCAGTGTTAGCAGTATTCAGCCTGCATGTTCTTTGGAGCTCAGACCAACCTCACAAAAGGGAGCAAATTCCAAAATGTGTCTTCTGGCATCCTCAGAAAACTACAACACAAGCGGAATTGCTGGAAAGTTGGGATGAGTGTCGTGAAGGAAGCGGTAGACTGGATTGAATAGAGTATGCACAAGTCCATGGGACCCTGGAATAGGCCTCCCGTGGTCCTGAGCGAACAGGCAGATGTCATTTCCACGCCAGCCTCTGAAATGTCACGGCAGTCAGGCAAAGACCCCGGTGACTGGAAAAAGGGAAACTGCACACATTTTCAAACGAGGTAATAAGGAGGCCCCTGGGAACTGCTGAGCACTCAGCCTCACCTCAGTGCCTGGTAAGATCATGGAACAGATCCTCCTGGAAGTTATGTTGAAGTTATACGTGAAAGTCCTCTGCAGCACCTTGGCCTGAGTTGCAGCAACAGAGCTGCAAAGTCCTTCCTCGCCCTGTTACACTAGAGAGCGTGAGCGGCTGCTCTTGCTATGCGGTTGCACAACAGGAGAGATCACAAGAAGAGTCTCTTCTTGGGTGCATTGATTGCAGCATGTCAGATTAAACAAACTATTCCAAGCATGTGAGAGCTCTGTTCATGACAAGCTGCTGCAGTGAAGCTTTGTGTGCTGGTATTCCAGACTTCTTAGTTTGAGCTGTTAAACACCTCACACCAGCTTGGTTATGCAGCTTTATAATTATACATGGTTTGCTTGCTAACAAGAAGTCAACTGTTAAGGCCTTGAGAATGAATCCTGTTTCATTCATGTGTACCCCAGCACGTCTGGGGTTTTTAGAACCTGCTGTGTATTACTGTCCATTTGTCAACATTAAACTTTTTTCACCATCTGTCAGGCCATTTGCAGAGCAATTCCAAATCCTTATTAAATCTGTTTGAAACTGGCTTAAGGCTCAGCATTTCACTTTCTCCATCAACACTCCATGGAGGTGATCTGCACAGAAGAAAACAACAGGGGCTTCAGTTCTAGTCCCCTTCGAGACCTACTTTAATACTTGGCCCAGCTTGAAGAGGTCCTTCAGTATTGTGCTGTCTTCTGTTTTATGGACCATTACCTTATTGGGTCTTTTAACTGGGATCCTCACTACCGAGTGTTGCGCAGAAGCTTGGCAGAAAGTGAAACTTTTTAAAGTTCAGATATTCTACGCTATTATGTGAGCTGTTCATCTGTCTCAGCAGTGCTAGCAGGGACATAACTTCCTGTTTGTCTTGAAGCTATTCCTGAGGTTTTGTTTAAGGCCTTCCAAATCACAGCAAATGGCTCTTCTAAACTTATTGAATACTAACTTGTGAATTAAACTACACATATACGTGTCTGTGGCCGAAGAGATGAATTAGAAGCAGAAATAAGAAGTTTTCTTTTAGGTATATTATGAGAACAAATCCAAATTGCTGGCAGCTTGTCAAGCTTGAAAGAAGATTTGTTCATTCACACATAAAGCACTGCAAGTTACCCAGATAACGGAAAGGAGATTTTCCTCCTTTCTATCATTCCCATGGTTTTTCCCTTTTAATAAATTTGTTCTTGAGTTGGCTTGATTTAGCCAAGCAAAAACATGATAGAAGAATTTATTTTGTCACAGTTGGTGTCCAGTCAGGCAAGACAAAGCAAAATAACATGCAGGGGAACTAGTTCAGCTTTTTTAGCTTGGGCTGAAGAGTGTTGCCTCTGCATTGGTTCTTACCTTACCTTCCTCTTTTAGGTCACAAGACAGCTTTAAATCTGAGCAGGGAAAGTAAATGGATGTTACCGGGAATTAGACTTTCATAGGAAATGCTGAGAGACAAACTGTCTTTTAAAGCTCTGTGTGTGTGTGTGTTGGATGTATTTCTCATGCAGCACAAAACTCAGACATTCATTTACTCAGCAAGTGAAATCATTACTTAATTTGATCATTGACTGTTTCCTTGCTTTTCCCTGGATGTGGGATGGGGCTCTGCCTTGGGAGCTGAGGCTTTAAGGATGCTGAGATGCGTGGAGTTGTGACTCTTAGTGGCCAACAAAATGAGCAATCAAAGAACTGGAGGGAGAGTCCTGGGAAACTCCAGTTGTTTCTGAACACGCGTGTAAGTAATATTGCATCAAAACTTTGTTAGGAATTCCCAGGGAAGCTGAGGTTGCACAAAGGCCTGTTTAGGAGAAAATGTCTGTCGACAAACTACAATAAACTGTACATCCTTTTTCACTTTGGAGTTTGGTTGGGAAGAATCCCATCAGTTTTCTCAGGGGCCAGAAAATGCACAGACCAAGGAAGTTCTATAGGAAAACCCAGCGTTTTCTTTTAAAACTTTGACTTTCCCTTTCTTTGTCATGAGAATGAACATTCAAAGCAAAATTCTAAGTTAATGGATGATGTGTAGAGAAATCTTTCGCTTGCCATGTGAAATCTCAGTCTTGAGTTAAGGGCCTGTTGCGTTCTCAGGGATGAAGAAGGTTTTTAATGCATGGTAAAATATGAAAGTGATATCCTTAGATCACTTCAGGGTAGAGGAAAATTACCATTTTTAGTGCACATGTATTGTCGGAAGTCAACGTTATTCTGCCTTGCTGTGGTGTGATGTTTTAGGATATTGACAAAATGCTGGGTACTTTTCCAAAGCTTTGCTTGAAACTTGGCATCATTTACATTCATCGCCAAAGTGCTTCAATTCATTTACGGTTAGAAAAAAGAAGAAAACCAAAACTTGGCATCATTTACACTCATTGCCAAAGTGCTTCAATTCATTTACAGTTAGAAAAAAGAAGAAAAACAAACCAAAACAAAACAGACCAACTTCTTCATCGCTATGTTCATATGCATAACTGGCAATCCAGTGGTACAGTATGTCAGTGGTTTCAGTACCATAAAGACCTGCACACGAGCCAACTCCCACACATTGTGCTGCCTTAATTTGACTCTTATAAGAGGAAACAACACATGCCTGCGGAGAGACCGAATGACTGCAAATGTGAAAATCATGAACCAGAGCCTCTGGAGAGCAAGAAGCATTCGGGCAGGGAGTACTGGTAGGGAGCAGGCAGGAACTTTTATGAAGGAGAAAAAATAGTCAAATGAAGGAAGCCTTTTCCTTTCAGCCACAGATATGCAGTGCTTGTACCTAACCAATTGCATTTAACCCTCTCCATGATTTTAAAATACTTTGAGGAAAGGTGTCCAAACATAGGTGTAGTCATCAGATACGCAGCATTCCTTTAACCTGTCTCAGGGAGAACGGAAAGCTGGAAAATAGCATACCGTCCCAGTGCCACCTGGTTCTGTATGATAGTGTAAGATCCGTAAGGTCTTCTCCGCCACTGCCAATTCCTATTTGTACATCCAGAAAGCTTGCTCTGAGGGAAGTGGGGGGAAGCAGTCGCTTTACCAACTCCTTGTTAGAACGTGAAGCTGCCGCAAGTTGCCTGCTCTTTGTGACTCCGCAGGGAGAAAGCAGCAGCTGAACAGGGTCCTGTTAAAGACAGGTGAGCTCAGGGGCCTGTTGCCCACTGTGACCAACACCTCACCCCTGGGAAAAATGGTAAGTTGAGTGAGCATGACAGCCGTCCCCTGAATGCCCTCCGACAACGTGGGGCCCTGCTGTTCAGGTTGTCCCAGAGCAAGAGAGATTTTTTCTGC